GTCCCCCGAGCTTCTTGCTTCACCCCCAATCCCTGCGCGATGGCGGATAACCCGGCTCTGTCCGCGCCACGTTCGCTCTCTTATGGCGGCACTCTCTTTCATACATAGCTGACATTTACCACCTCCCATATCCACCCTCTCTCATATTACGCGTCGAAATAGCCCTCGTCCCCCGAGCGAAGGCGCAGCAGGACGTAATAGCATTCTCTCGGAGAATTACTTATACCCTCCTGTGACCACCACTCATCGCGGCCAAGTTTCTCTCTTTCCACGGGCTCTTTTCCTGATAAAGTCTCTCCTTGTTAAAAGCGACGGCCACTCTTCTCGTCCCCGTCGGCGTCGTGAAAATAATCAAAAATAAAGCGCGGTGTTATAAGACGCAGGTATAATCTTCGCTTTTTTTCTTCGACTCTCTCTTTCTTTCTCTTTCTCTTTTTATTCATTATTATAGAGGGAATAAAGATAACAATTTGAACGCAATTGTTTTATAAGCTAAAGTGTTCGATTTATTTAAGTATATCTATTAAGGGGATGCCGGAGAGACGGCTGAACTCCGATAGGTTAGCACCACACATGTCTAAACATATGCACGTATACAACACATATGCGTGAAAATTTTCTGCACCGTTTTCTTATTTATTAGGTTTTTAAACTTATATCTAAAAATATACTAATACTTCTTCATTCAATTTCTAGTCGGAACCTATCTTATTTTGTACGTACAAACAGCAGAACTTTTAATTAAACAATTATTTTTTTCGACCTGACGACGAAGTCGATAAAGAAATTTTAGTTTTTAATTTTTTCTTGTTTTTAACATAAAATCAGTAGGTTCCCACTTTGTTTCTGTACGTGTTTTAATTGTGGAAAAGCATTTATTATTTTATTAAACCAATAAAAAGATTTAGATGCAGAAAAATCTATAATCATCTGATCGATAAAACAGACATCCGGCATCCCCTTAAGGGGATGTTGCCATTGTTTTGTTTTATCGACTTTAAGTTAGGTTAGGTTCACTTTTTATTGAATATATATACAGATTGAAAAATCTTCCACAATGAAAGTACTGATAATAATGAATGGGGAGCGCATCCTGCAACTAATGTTTGCTGTTTTATGCCTCGACTTCGATTCCGCATGTAATATATACATATATAATTAATTCAAGTGCGAATATTTTGATACAGTCTTTTAATCTCATTTTTATCACTTCTGTATTATTCTTTCCTGTCATCTCTATTAGGAGCTCCATATTTTGTGCACAAATAAACTGCAGAACTTTTGTATTAAATAAGTATTGTTATGAGCTAATGCAAGAGTCCGATAAAATAACTATAATTTTTTAACTGTTATTGTTTTTTTATACGAAATTACTGCGCTCCCCGTTCATTATTATTAGTACTTTAATTGTGAAGAAGGATTTTTCAATCTGTATGGCTAATAAAAAGAAAAGCCTTGAACTCAAAGTCGGTAAAACAGTCATGGTCAGCATTCCCTTAAGAAGTAAAATTATCCCTCATATGTAGAACGACTTTTTTGCATATCTCGATATATCTCAAAAAGCGATTCGAGATGTCAAAAAATATTTTATGGCAAAATTATCTCTATTTAATCATATTAATAATATTTTAAAAAAATAATTTTTTTACATTTTCGAAAAAAAATATTTTTTTCAAAATTGTATTAAAAAGGTATTTTAATTATAAAAATTTGACATCAAATATTTTTTGATATGAGAAAAGCAGAAGGCATATGAGAAACGGTTTCATTATTTTCATTTTTTAGCAGAAACTTAAAATTTCTAAACTTGGCAAAATTGATTTCGACGTAACTAGCAATTTTATTCAATACTTTCACGACGTTTCGACCATTTGGTTGTGATCCTTATCAAGTGAGAATTCTATAACACAATATTACACAATAGTTTTTAACAATGTTGAAACATGTCGTGAAAGTATTGAATAAAATTGCTAGTTACGTCGAAATCAATTTTGCCAAGTTTATTTTCACCACTAGCGTCCAATATTAATTTTGATTGATCTTAAAATTTCTAAATTTATTTGTCCCCCCTCCATGTATATAAAGTTCAATTGTAAAATATCTACATTTAATCACATTAATACAATTTTGAGAAAACAATTTTTTTTAAGATTAAAAGATTTTTTTTATTTTTTCAAAATTTTATTAATGTGATTAAATAAAGATATTTTACTACAAAAATTATATAAAATATTTTCGTATATTTCAAATGCTTTTCGAAAAATGTCAAAAAATAAAAAGCTGGAAGTTTTACCCTTCAAAATAATTTTTTACAGCAATTGAAAATTTCTAAACACATGTATAAAATTTCATCAAAATCAAAAGAATTTACCAAGTTTCCTCACTTAAATTATGTGAGAGAAGGAGAGGCGAAGAAAGGAGGAGAAATTGCATCACCCTTTTTAAATTCTTATCGCAATCTCGTTTCGCCTCCCACTGGTAGAGGACGATAAAACAGAAAATCTTTAAAATAAACGTAAAAATATACATGTAGTACAATTTTTTGACAATAAAGGGGCGTATATACATTAGTTATGGCTTTCATACGGATGGCGAAGTACGGCTGCATATATCACGATCAAGTCATCAAGTAGATACGTCCCGTCCATACACGGCATTACGTAATTGCAACGGAACGTTTATATAACGGAATATATTACCGGTTACGTAACGCACGGGTGGCATAATATATATCCTAATAAGAGCGCGCATGTACATTGCATGCGCGCAAAGTAAATGTCATCGTTATTGAATTGCCGCTCAGTAATAAAAAGCTCGCGACGTTTATGTCGTCGACTAAAGCCCTCGAATAAGGAACAAAAAACCACCCCCTTTCTCTCGCCCCCTCGTAATAAATGCATTCTCTCATCCGCACTCGATATTTTCCTCTCGTCTGATAAATCCTTTAATTACTTATTTTCATTTTATATATTTCTTGTTATATATATATATCAACTCGAAGGATGTTACAATCTGTCCAGGATTTATTGCAAATATTTTCACTTCTTTTTCATTTAATATCACATACTTATTCAAAGGAAAAATATTAATTAACGAATTATTAAAGAAACTTTTCTTTCATTACATGTTTATTTTATTTGTTATCTTCATTGTAATTCAATTAAATATACATATTAACAATTTTTAAAATATTTAATATATATTTAAACATTCGGAAATTTATGGCATACTTTTAATTGAAAATATTATATATTTATTTATTACTTACAGTTATATTACATCATAAATAAACAATAAATACTAGCTGTTATATTTAAACGTCATAAAATCGATACGCAATAATTAATAAATTATTACTCATACATATATGTATATATATTTAAATATGTTATTATAATTTATGAATATTATATTATTAATTAATAATAAATTTGTAATCTTTCAACAGAGGGTTTATGTTTCAAAAGTGTTCTCCTGAAAATCATTCCTATTTTGTACTCATCAATCTACATGTAATATACGTATTTATGTTGTGTAATAATAGCTTTTCTCAATAAGTAGTACAAATTTAATAATTAACGAATTTATCGATATAGTAAAAAAAAAACATCATACATTTTTATTAAATTAGATAATTTTTAAAAATAAAACACGCCGGTTTACACAATTCAAGCAACTTCAAAGATCTATTACATATATTATCGTGATTCATCTTCGTGAGTAATCACGTGTATGACGTTCGATTACCTTTTATCCCGCGAGAACCTTGTTAATCAGCGCGTTGGCGAATTAATTTCTAGCGTGTGTAATCAATCTGATGTATTTTAAGATAATATTACTCGCGTGACTGGCGTTAAAGTAGGCGACCGATAGGAACAGTAATTTCGTATATAGTATATATATATATATTGCGTTTGATACGACGGCGCTGACCTTTCTGCCGGCGGAAAAATAGGAACCTTCACTCTGTGTGTGTATATGTATGTGTGTATGTGTGGGAGGAGAAGGCACACGTCGACCTGTGAAACGGTACGATGTATCTTACGCGTGTGCATGCTCAGAAATGGCTCCATGACTCGCGAGAGTATAATTCAGCTTCTCTTTACCCATTTACGCTTGACCCTCCATCGGTCGCACATGCATCTGAGAGGTATTTTATGTCAACTAGAATTTTTTGATATAATTCGGAGTCTCCGAATTAATATTTTAAAAGAAGAAATTTTTGTAAAAGAATTAGTAAAAAATTCTAGTTAATTAAATTTTAATTTTAAAAAATTGTTAATTAAATTTAAAGAGATTTTTTCTGGAAATTGTAATTGGAAAGATTAATTAATGTAAGTATTTTTTGTCACAATTTAATAAATCTAATTAAGATATTAGTAGATAATATATATACAGGGTATTTTTAAATAAATGCGAGAAACTTTAGAAGATAGTTCTTTGTCGAAAGTTAAGCGTTAATTCTTCTTGAGAAGTTCCTCCAAAGAGGGAGGTAAAAATTAAATTTTTAATTTTTTTTAAATTGTAGACAAGTTAAAAAGTGAAATTTGAAGGATATTTTTTTCCACTAGTCTAAAAGATATTTATTAATCTTTCTATATTTTTAATCTTTCTATATCGTATTATATAAAATGGGGATGAAACTAACAACCTCTACTCAATTTTTTATGAAAACTTTTTAACGAGTCAGAACGAGTAATCATCTAAAAATATGCGTTAGAAAGCTTGATTCTTTTAAAAACTTTGTTTTTAGTAAAATCAATAGTTTTCAAGAAAAGAAATCTAATTTTATTTTCCATTTTGGAGCAATGTAAATTCTCAGAGAGAGATATATAGTTTATATAAAAACCCCTTTAATTTTTGACAAAGATTCTTCATTTCTTAAAATTTTTCGCACTTATTTATAAATATCTTGTATACATTTAAAAGAAAAATATTTTTCTCAAATTTTATTTTATTTTTGTATGTAAACGAGAGATGAAAATATAATCTCTCTTTTTTTCTCTCAAGTAAAATAAAGGAAAAATCATTTACTTTTGAACCCGAAAAATCATATCGATTATAAAGGATCTTTTAAAGATTTAAGATAGACAGACAATAATCAAATTCCTTTATAATGATCAATAATTTAAAGTTCCTCTAAGCAAATAAAATCAAAATTTCATAATTCAACATCAAATTTAGATTATCCATTCGATATTCAAGACAATATAATTTTCCTTATAATTTTCTTTATTTTATCATTTCTTTTGAAATTGTAATTAGGAAGATAAATTAATTTCCGTATCTATTTTTGTCATAAGCTCGTAATAAATCTAGTTAAGATATTAGTAGACAATATATGTATTCGAAAGAAAAATATTTCTCTCAAATTTCGAGATGTAAAATATAATCTCCCTTTTTCTCCCAAACAAAGTACTGAAAAATCATATCGGTTATAAAAAAAAATCTTTTAGAAAGATACCAAGGCATCAAATCCCTTCTAGCTATCAACAATTTAAGCTTCCTTATAGAAAATCAAAATTTCATAATTCCAAATCAAATTTCGATATTCGAGAGAGAAAAAATATATAATTTTCCATACACTCAATCTCAGATGCACGAACAGTTGATATCCCTCGTTCTTTCACGCGTCGCGATCGAAGGATTAAAATCGCGCTGAGGTGGCTCGAATGGAAGGAAAATCCTGTGTCGTTTTCCGAATTTCGATCGAGCTAACTCTCGTCGTCGTCCTCAGGTCGTAGCGTCGTGTCCTCGCGATGGCGTCCTCCCCTCGATTCGCCGCCACTATCGATCGCGGTGTGGCTTCGGCGGCGGCCGTCGAAGAATTCGGGGTGTCAGCCGGGAAGAGGGGGGGGGGGTCAGGTGGGGAGGGGGGAGGGGGACGTGTCAGTTTCTTTGCGGTTTTATTACACGGCTCGCCGGAGGTGGCAATTTGTTGAAGCCCGCGTTGTCAAAGACCGGAAGTAGGTCCCTCACTCTTTGTCCCGCGCCGATCGACGCCAGCTCGATCCATCTGCAATGGCGAAACACGTGAAAGGGGGGTCGCCCGCGCGCTCCTCTTTTCTTTTTTTTCCCCTCCTTTTTTTTCTGAAACGATCCGTTTTCCCCTAATGCCCGCAAACCTTTTGTGTTTTATTGGCAATGTTCCATTAAAGATATTACGGCCAAGTGGAAGAGCGGATCACACGTAATGGCGCCACCATCATTTCCTTTTTTTTTTAGAGCTAGAAGATTACAATTTAAATTGTAATAGCGATTTTACGGCTTCCTTTTTCTAAAAATTTTTCATTCCAAGACATAAGTAGATAGATGCCTTTTTTTACAAAGAACTAAAACGACATAATTAAGAGGATAGTTTCATGTTACCGATCGAAAAGTGAGGTTAGATTCGACTATAAATATTTTGATTTTTTAAATTTATATTTTGATCGGCTATATATACAGATTGATAAATCCTTTTCTTCAATTAAAGTAGATATTAATATATTAACAAACCGCGTTAGCTTATAATTTTAGGTAATAAACAATCCGTATAGCCAATAAATAGATTTATATATGTCGAATCTAACCTTACTTTTCGATCGATAAAACAGTACTAATCCAGCATCCTCTTAACAAAAAAAGGAGGAGAAAAATATTGATGACACTTATCGAATCATGCGTTTCGTAAAAATTATTTCCTGTAATATCATTATTAAACCCTAACAGCATAACATATAAAAAAACGTTCAGAGGATATCCAGAGGACAGTTGAATATCCTCTGAACGTCTTTCGAATATGCGTGTGCTGTTATAGGGAAATAGCGAATTAATAAGACAGCTATTAATTTCGAAATAATGGACGTTTAAATAGCCACCATATTGCCGATGATATAATTAATGAATATATCAGGCGGGACCGGATATGACGGGATTTTCGCGCGCAATTTTTAACGCGGCTACAAATTTGTCGTTCAATGAATCACGCGTGCCGCTCGCGTCAAGCACGAGCAAGAGAATTTGATTGGCTATATACAGATTGATAAATCCTTTTCTTCAATTAAAGTGGATATTAATATATTAACAAACCGCGTTAGCTTATAATTTTAGGTAATAAACAATCCGTATAGCCAATAAATAGATTTATATATGTCGAATCTAACTTTACTTTTCGATCGATAAAACAGTACTAATCCAGCATCCTCTTAACAAAAAAAGGAGGAGAAAAATATCGATGACACTTATCGAATCATGCGTTTCGTAAAAATTATTTCCTGTAATATCATTATTAAACCCTAACAGCATAACATATCAAAAAAAACGTTCAGAGGATATCCAGAGGACATTTGAATATCCTCTGAACGTCTTTCGAATATGCGTGTGCTGTTATAGGGAAATAGCGAATTAATAAGACAGCTATTAATTTCGAAATAATAGACGTTTAAATAGCCACCATATTGCCGATGATATAATTAATGAAAATATCGGGCGGGACCGGATATGACGGAATTTTCGCGCGCAATTTTTAACGCGGCTACAAATTTGTCGTTCAATGAATCACGCGTGCCGCTCGCGTCGAGCACGAGCAAGAGAATTCACTTCCCACCTGTTGTTTTTGTATTTGGCGAGGGGTTGAGCGGCTGGATGGGGCGTTTCGGTGGGGAAATATGTGGCCCCATAAAAATCCAAACCACGGCTCAGTAGCATCGAGGTCTCCTCCACGCTGGCCAGGGTAACCCTTATAACGGGTGGCCCCGTATAAATCGTCGCCGGCTCGTTGAGATTCTGCGCGTCGCTCTTTAGCTTGTCATTGATGGCCTTCACTGATTTATTTAACACACGGGCATTTTATTGCACACACTCGGCTCGATGCGTCACAGGGAAAGTAATGGCGCTTTTATATAATACTCGTGCATAAAGAATATAATGTCAAATATAATGTCACAATTGTGTGCACAATTTCTCGAGATTTGACATTTTACGCGAAATACAAAAACATGTATATAATATTGTTTGACATTCGCGTTGAATATTTGTGTTATTATTCGTGGGTGTGCTTCGCAAATATCGAGATTTTTGCGAAATAAGTCTCTCGTAGAGAGATTGAAATCTTAAATTATATGCAAAAATAAATGTATACAAACAAATATTAAAATTATATATTTTAAAGTATAAATTATATTGAAATATTGAAATATATATTAAATTATTTTAAAATATATAAAAATTTTGCTGAAATTACTCCAAGAAGAGAGCATAATTAATCTATCACATTAGGCGATATACAAAGCAATTTTAAAAAAGTGCGATAGGAAATAATTTTTGTAGAAAATTAAAAGAGAAGTTTTTTATGTAAACATACAACCTCATATATTTTTCTCTCTGAAATTATACTTGTCTAAAAGGGGGATAAAATTAAATTTTTATTTTTTCCCCAAAAAATGTGTTTTTATTCCATTTTTCCAACATTTACTATAATTTTATTTTACTTGCTTTTTTATTGTATATTTCAACTTCTCGTAATTTGTAACCATGCTGTGCATGACAATGTATTTTTTTTTTTTTAACTATTGATTTTATAAAGTTTCTAAAGGAATCAAGCTTTGAACACAAATTTTTAGATGATTACATTCCAGGACCCGCTCAAAAGATGTAATAAGAATTGAATAAGGATTTCTAGTAATTTCATCCTCTTAATAATACGAAAAGATTAACAAAATATTAATAAGTATCCTTTTTACTAGTGAAAAATATCTACCAAATTTCATTTTTTTTTTTTTTGTAATTTTAGAACAAAAATAAAAATTTAATTTTTACCTCTCCTTTGGAGAAGTGTAAATTCTCAGGGAGCGATATAAAAGTATATATGTGTATGAAAAATCCTTCTTAATTTTCGACAAGAATCATCTCCTAAAATTTATCGCAATTATTTTGAATTATTTTGTATATATGTATATAAAAGCCGATACTTTCCTCAACCAAGAGAAATCTAGAGAAGAAACATTTGTAGTTTCGTGACTCACAAACAGTTCCCGTATTCAGGGGTAGCCTGGTTACTTCGACGATAGATCGATATTTGTAGAGAGCATGCCTAATATCGTCTTCTGGCACTTCCTCAGGTACATCGAGAACGTAGACGGTAAAGATCTTTGCCGGTCTACACGGTATAGCAACCTATTTAATTATGTGTTATAATTCATATTAGATATATTTACCCCACGTTTATTCCTGATGAGAAATTAATTCCAAAAATTGCAAAATTATATGTATTTTGAAGAGTAAAATTTTTCTAAAAATAAAACAAATGTAATCAACCGTAATACAGCGTGAATCCATGCATTTTATCCCATATAGTAATAATCGAATTAAAGTAAATACATAAATGGATTGCTTACGCGAGCCACTACTGTCAAGATATTCCTGTTATTTTTCAAGCAAGTAAACCATTTATACTTTGTTGTATATATCCACAACATATGTTTATACTACTCGAGGGTAAAATCCATGCAGATCCAGAGATTAGTTGCAAAGCACTATATAAGGCATTCCTCTGTGTCAGCTATTTTAGCTTTAGAAAGCTAAACCACCAGATGTAAAAGTCTCAAAGCAGTAATGCGTTAAATTATCCGGCTCGACCAGAATTATTTTGTCAGCTATTATTTATCTGTATAAAGCGCCATATCTGTGATAAGAAAACGGAAAGGAGCTAAATTAAAACGTGAAAATTTCGTTGGTAGAGTATTCACCTTTTTGTAGAAACGGGCGCCTGTCACTTTGTGGAAACCCTTTTTATACACTGCCTGAAAGTCCTCGATGTTGCTGAACTTGAAGAGAATGCCCGTGGCGGTTTTCGTCAAAGAAAACGCACCTCTAGATCGTATAAGGGAAAGTCGTTTTAATTATAATAGAAAAATCAATTATGAAAAATTATATTTAAAAATGGAATTTGACGCGCGAATGAGTTATTAATATTTATATATTAATATTTTATCAAATATTAATATTCATATATACAGGATGTTTCTAAAGAAGTGCGAAACATTTTAAGAAATGGTTCTTCGTCGAAAATTAAGGGGTGGGGGGGAGTTTCATAAACATATACTCCTCTTTATAGCCCTTCTTGAAAAATTACATTCCTTCAAAAAGAGAGATAAAAATTAGATTTTTAATTTTTTTTTCAAATTTTGGGCAAATTAAAAAATAAAATTTGATAGATATTTTCTAGCAGTAAACAGGATATTTCTTAATATTTTTTTAATTTTTCCGTTATTGTTATAAGGGGATGAAACTAACAACCCTTATTCAATTTTTTATTAGAATTTTTTAACCGACTGGATTGTAAGCATCTAAAAATATGCGCTGGAAAGCTTGAAGAGAGAAAAATAAAAACTTAATTTTTACCTTCTCTTTTGAAGAAGTGTAACTCTTCAGAGAAGGATATAGGAATATATGTTTATATGACTTATTTAGAAACATCCTATATATAATTATTAATATTTACATATATATATATATATGCATATGTTTTTTATTTATAATATTTATAATATCTTATCTAATATTAATATTTATATATTAATATTTTCTATATTTTTATAGAATCAATCCGTGGTTAAGAGTTAATTTACTTTGTCTCTCTCTCTCTCTCTTTCTCTGTAGAACTTTGCGATGTTAATTGTGAGTGAATTCCTGCCATTGTCATGCGCTTGTTGCCGATGCGCAAAAAAGTTCACGCACATAACACCTACACACACACACACATTGCATCGGAGTACGTAGTTGGTTTAATGGATTTGTTGTCCGACCTGTTACTGCTTCTACTACTTCGCGCGACGCGCCAGCTGACTTAACTACTTTTAGATTCGATTCGTGCACGGAGCACTTTAGGATCTCCTGTGGATTAAACCAAGCGAAGGTCGAAGTAACGTAGACAACACTGTCAGTGAGAACATTACGAGTTGAAAGAACATTTGTTTTTTGGCATAAACCGATTTTTGTGCACATATAAATATGTATTTTAGTAGTATATATCAAAAACTCTGTAATTTTTACTCAAACCACAACGAGTTTAAAGTAATTAATTTTCGTCAATATACGTCTATTCAAAAATATAATTTTACATCTTGTTAATTTTACAAGATTCTTTTCTCATTTTACAAAAGATGGAGAAAATAAAAGTAGTCTGTGTACAATGGAACAAAAAACATTAGGATGGGATCGATATACAGAGTATATCTAAATAAGTGCGAAAAAATTTATGAGATGATTTTTTGTCGAAAATTAAGGGAGGTTTCTTATATATATGTATATAAACATATACTCTTATATCCTTATCCCTGAGAAGTTACACTTTTCTAAAGAGGGAGGCAAAAATTAAGTTTTTATTTTTTTTTAATATAAATAAATATCCTTTTTATTAGAAGAAAATTTCCATCAAGTTTCACTTTTTAATTTGTCTAAAATTTGATAAAAAAAACTTAATTTTTATATAAGAAATCTCCCTTAACTTTCGACAAAAAATTATTTCTTAAACTATCCGCACTTATTTAGATACACTCAAATCTAATAATCAATTTTTATTTTCTAGGATTCGATTAATATTGATAAGAATTATTATTTTATATAGAGTGCGTGCAAAGTTATAAAATCTAAAACAGTTACATTTGAAAATATTATTTGCATTTACTTGGATAATATTCTTGTTTCTCAACTTAAAAGTATTGTTTTTTATGTAATTATACACTGAAAAAAATTATTGAATTAATAAATATTTATTTCAATACTGCCTAATAAATTATTTATTTGAAACAAATAAATATTTATCTGTTTTGAAAAGAATTTTTTTATATATTATTGTATAAATAATAAATATTTTTGACATCAAATCAATATTATTACTTCCAAATAAATTATTTATTAGACAGTATTGAAATAAATATTTATTCGAAATCAATAAATTTTTTTTCAGTGTGCCGATATAGATAGTTCGAGACCATGCAAACAAATTCGATCCTACTTCCAAAATATTGAATCCCATCATTAAACATTTGATTAAATTGCACAAATTTCTAAATATCCCCCATCTTCAAATATTGCATAAGATACACGTAATTTTTTTACAGTAATAATAGAGAAAAATTTTTGCGAGTGACACACAGGGTATAAAATAAAAATAATTCAAACACTGCTGACACTTCGACCTCGTTCGTAATATAAGTTATCAAAGTATCCCTCCCATCCCGAGAAGGAAAATCCTGAAAGCAGACCGTGCTATAGGTACCCCAAAGCGGTTCTCACCGGAAGTTCATCTTCTCGCAGATGGTGGCGGCCTTCTCCATGCTCAGTTCGTGGCTCGGGGTGAGCAGGAACGCGCCCTTGGTGAGAAAATCGGTATCGCTGACCTCCGAGTCGCTGTCGGCCTGCTCCTGCCAGTCGGCGGAGCCGCGACGGACCTCCTGATTCAGGCGCAACAACGAGCTGCTCTTTGACGCCGACATGTCCTTGTCGCACTGCGCACTGCCACCTTGTTCCGGCTGCGACATCTTTTATAGCGTTCGATCCGAACCGAGAATTCACGGTGATCTCACGTGTTGCTCACCGCTACGCGAGGGTACGGCCTCTCTATATATGAATATATATATATGTATATATATTTACGTATATCACGCGTTACGCGAGATCGATCACTCGAGGGAGAACGTCGGATAGGCACGAGACCGGACATACGTCGTGCTACACTGCTCCGGATCGCCGTCCACTACGGTCCTTTTATATACGCGCCTGCGATGGATGGGCGAGCTAAGTCGTCGACGAGAGAGAGAGTCGGTCGGACGCGAACGGAAGATTACACGGCAAAAAGTGTCCCTGAGCGCGGCTGGTTAATAATCCCTTTCGATTGCCATTGATGCGTATACGCGTCAGAAAAAAAGAGAGGAAAAGATTAACCACGGAGATATTCAATTGGGCGAGAAAAAAGAAGGATACACCCGCGAAGCTCCAATTCCTATAGTATTAGCTCATCAATCGGTGCAAATATGTACAAAGTGGAAAAATTGTACTCTCATTTTTAGAATTTTCCACTCGTTTTTAGAATATTCTGTTTTTAAATTCTCCGGCGCCAAATGGATTTTTTAAATTTATTGTTAAGAGGATATGCCGATTAGGTCTCTGTTTTAGCGACAAATAGTTATTTTTATTTAACTATTTATTAGCTGTACAGAATGAAAAATCCTTTACTAGAATTAAAGTATTTATAATAACAAATCTGGATTATTATATGTATATAAAAAGAAACCAAAAAAGTTAAATAATTAGTTTTCTTATAGTTTAGGTTAGGGTGACCGAATGCAAAAGACTGATAGAAAAACTGTAATTATTTAAGTTTCTTATTTTTTTATATACATATGTAATAGCCCAGATTTGTTATTATGAATACTTTAATTCTAGTAAAGGATTTTTTATTCTGTATAGCCAATAAAGAATTAAATAAAAATAATTTTTGCCGATAAAACAGATCTAGTCAACATCAGATATACTTAATTTAATAAAAATATAATAAAAATGTTGACGAAATGTGATTTATTTTTACATTTAAAAAGTATATTATTTTACAGCATATAGCTAACAAAAGAATTTGCATAAAAAACATACCGACCATTTATTATCAACAAAGAATATATTTTTAATTTTAGAGAATATTCTAAAAATAGTTAAAAACGATTTTATAATGTACAATCCTGTTATTTCGAGAATACAATTTTTTTCAGTGTAAAAGCGTAAAAAGTGATTTTGGTATATATAGATACTTCGATATAAATTATTATTTATGCTATAATCGACATGATATTGTCGAAAATATATCCTTGTTTGAAACATCAAGTTTATTAAAAATGTGCGGCGTCACATTTTCTATTCTACCTACTTCTTTTTCAGGCCTTATACCTTTTACATTTGATGTGCAAAGCTATTTGTGTCAAGCAAAGACAAAGAGTACGAAGAACACTGTTTTGCGACCTAGTTGCATTTTTTTAAAGCGTCACTTTCCGCGAGTAGAAAAATATTAGAGAGATAATGCATCTGCTCTTTTTTAGGTTTTTTTAAAATCCGATTTATGCATAAAACACGTGAACGTACACACACGCGCACACACACATATATATAGCAAAATAAATTAAATTTTTATCTGTTTTTTTCACAGTGAAATAAACAACAGAAAAACTGAAACTTTAAAAAATCCTGAAATGCTCAAGAAACAAATTTCTCTATATAAGCTTTAATTTTATCACGAGTTTTATAATATTAATTTTAATTTTGTATAATATTATAATGATAATTTTATATAAACCAAAAGTAAATTAGTAATATAAAAACCAGGAGCTGGTGACAGGAGGGGAAACATATATTTATTTATACATATAAAATTAATTAGATATCAATTATATAATTATATAATAATATAATCATACATTGGTTATTATGTATAAAATTAATTAATGTTACAAAAATTGTTTTAATCCTCTCTTTAGATCAGCAATAAATGATAATTTTAATTTTTTTATATTATTTAATTTTAATATTAATCTTATATTTCCATAATAAATAGAAATGCGAGACTGGAATTTTTAATCGAACCATTACATATGCGACAAAAAGCTTCATTTAAATTCAGTTCAAGTGTCTGCTTGTTTTCGGGGACGATACTCGATACAGATGTGGAGCTGTATCGATTTGTTACACATATTCTCCAGATTGCTGAAAGAAATTATATTTATAGAACAAGTAAAAGAAAGAGAAATAGGAGACATTAATAATTAAATGCTAATAATATATTATATTTTCTTAGTATTCAATCTGATAATGTGATCTCTTCGTTTAAAGTATCGATAGTTTCAATAGACGTTATTTGCGTTAAATTAATCGGTTAAATTAAATTCTTTATTAATATTTTTGTTGGCAGATTTTACGAATGGACGTCGAAGCTGGTCAGGGAATTAGGTCATCGCGGCGCAAAACGGTAAGTTTAGTAACACATAAATTATTACACATATATTCGATATATATATTGACGATATATTGATATATATGATTTTTAAAGGTATTGTCTTAGCTAAAAAAAATAATTTATAATATAATAAAAACAAAGATACAAAATAAAAAAAATAATTAAAAATAATTAAAAAATAATTTATAATTTAATTAAAACAAAAATACGAAAACTACGATAAACGTTGCTTTAATCGCTAAATTATTTATTTATATCTCGAGTAAGTCATTAAATCATACACATTTCGCTAACAATGTCAGTAGGCATTTAATAGATAGTTAAAAAAAAAAGAAAAATAGGCAAATCATAAAACTCCTTAAGGGGATGCTGACTATGTCTGTTTTATCGACAAATATTATTTTCATTTAATTCTTTATTGGCTTTACAGAATGAAAAATCATTTACTAGAATTAAAGTATTGATAATAATAAATCTGGGCTACTATATGTGTATTTAAAAAGAAACCAAGAAAATTAAATAATTACAGTTTTCTTATCGTTTAGGTTTAGGTTAGGTTGACCCAATGCAAAAGACCAATAGAAAAACTAATTATTTAGCTTTCTTATTTTTTAAATACGAGTACATACAATATGTAGTAGCCCAGATTTGTTATTGTAAACACTTTAATTATATAGTAAAGGATTTTTTATTCTGTATAGCCAATAAAGAGTTAAATGAAAATAATGCTTGTCGATAAAACAGGCCTAACCAGCATCCTCTTAATTACCGCGCATTAGCGGGTCAAATTAATGCGAACTAGTCGTCGGATCCGGCGATTTCGAAGTGACGTCGAATCTCGATCAAAATCTAATTCGCGAGATGCCGTATTAGGCGTCGCGCGGACCCGATCGGTGCAGAAATCGCATTTGCCGCTGCAATCTGGTCGGCGGAGGAGAATCAGGAAGTGGAGGAGAGAATGAACAAGATGCGCACGGATGTTGTGGAATCCGTTGCGCGTACAATACGGAACCGCGCGTCACGCGGATATCGCGGAACATCCGTTTACATCCCCCTTCCCTCTCTCAATAGCAAGAACGGCGATTGTACCCTCGATTCGCGCCCCGAGAGTCTCCCTCTCTCTCTCTCTCTCTCTTGTTGATAATTCACGGTGTGGAATTGACGGGAGTTGCACGCGATACTTCATCGTCGATAATTCGTATCATCATCATCATCATCATCGTCATCATCATCATCATCATCATCATCATCATCATCATCATCATCATCATCATCATCATCATCATCATCATCATCATCATCATCGTCATCGTCATCGAGACGACGAATATGACCATGTCGCGCGCATAATGCGGAGGTGGCCGGCCAATCAGCTGATGCTTTTTCTGCAAAGCGAAGACGCGGGCGATGAATCGACCGCGTAGGCATTTAATTGGATAATCGGCCGAAACGATACGTCCTCGATAATAAATTTATCCGCCAGCCAGAAAAAGAACGGGGGAGGAAGGGAGGAAGTTCGATCTTATGGGCAAAAGCTATTTGTTAAAGTCGATAAAATCGACGTATCCCGTATTAAAGAAATGAAGAACGAGCTCGAGATCAATTGACTCGTCATTGTGTATGTGACGAGCAATATATATTTAATAAATGATAATTATTATATTTTTTAAAATATAATATTTTTTTATTATTTTAAAACATAATAATAATAATAATAATAATTTTTAAAGTCTAGTTTTGTATTAATTTTGCTCGAATTTTTGATAAATTAAATCGTCATCTTACATCGCATATTATTTCAGTATTAAAAATTAATTAGAAGAATATTTTTGTGAATTATTATGTAAAATATTGTTATAATTATTTTGTAAAATATTATCTAAGAAACGGTACGAATAAACATGGTTAAAATCGCGTCTCTATTAATCTTAAAAAATGTCTTGTAAAGAAATAAGGCTTACTTCAAATTCCTTTAATCAATTTTATGACAAAAATCGGTTTTGAATTCGGTCTTTTTTCTATTTCTCATTCAATCATAATTACGATTGCTGGTGTTGCTGGAGGCGATAACTGTCAAATCGCTCATCGAAAACTACAATGATCAAAGAAACGTCAACAACATCGCAAACAACGGATACAAAGGAAAATATCGCGCCATAGAACAACATATATCGAATCAAAGCTTTCGAGAAAATATTACACAGGGTATTCCATTTTAATTAATACAGTCGAATATTGCTGAAACTACGACTGTATAACGAGAAAATATTTCATCGCAAAATTTAAAAGGTTTTGTGAGGGGAAAAAAATCTGATAATCTTAAATTCTAATTAACATCATTTTTCATTTAATGATCAATCTAAGTTTTTTTAAATGAAACTATGCCAGATATTCCGATTTACATAAAAAAAAAAATAGAATAGTTTCATTTTAAAAAACTTAGGTTAATATTCAAACGTCCGTGAAAAATAACCTTAGTTAAAATTCAAAATTATCAACTTTTTTTCCCCGTCAAAACCTTTCAACTTTCGCATGAAATATTTTCTCGTTACAGTTATAGCACTCGCAATTTTTCTTATTTAATCGGGATGATTTATATTCATGAACGTATTATTAAGAGACGTCTCGTCGTTAAAAAAAAATTAATTAGTTATTTATAGCTATTTATTTATACGGCGTCGAGAGAGGCGTTTCGTCTTAAAGCTTATCGATCTTCGGGAGATTAG